TCAGAGAAACATAAAAGAATATAAAGAGTAAGTGAAGAGCAAAGGAAAGCTGTAGAGGAAAAGAAGCCATAGAAAATAGGAGTCAAAAAAGGACCAGTAATATCAATGAGGATCTTTCTGTTGACTTTGAAAAAAGCCCGATATTTCTCCCTGTTTGCATTAAGTGGTGAGTGATATATGGGGGAAAGAAAAAAGAAAAAAAAAAAAAAGTTCTCTGTTAACAGAGCCTAGCCAACAAATTTCTTGAGGTCATCCTGGCAAAAAAGAAGTGGAAATTTTTATGTCATGTAGTGATTGCTGTTGTAGGTTAACTGATGATGCTGGACTCAAATGCATAACAAGTTTGCAAATGATACTAAATTAGAATGAGATAGTGATTCCCTCAAGGATGGAGAAGCCTTGCAGAGAGATTTTGACAAATTAGAGAGCTGGGCAATCACCAGCTGCATAAAGTTTAACAGGGGCACATACTGGATTCTGCACCTGGAATAGGGTATGTAAAAACTGTGGTTCAAGGGGCTGGAAATCAGCCCCATGGAAAGGAATCTGGGAATTTTGATGAACAAGTTGAGTATGAGTCAATAGTGTGCTACGGCAGCTAAAATGGCCAACCATACCCTGGGGTGCATCAAGCATGGCATTGCTAGCTGCTCATGTGAAAGGATTGTCCCACTCTGCTCTGCTTTGGTGAGGCCTCACCTCAAGTACCATGTGCAGCTTTGGGTACCACAATATAAAAAGGACATAAAACTATTAGAGAGTGCCTGAAGGAGGGCTATAAAGATGGTGTGGAGTCTAGAGGGCAAGACATAAGAGGAGTGGCTGAGGTCCCTTGGTTTGTTCAGCCCCGAGCAGAGCAGGCTGAGGGGAAGCCTCATGGCGGCCTGCAGCTCCCTCACGAGGGGAGAGGAGAAGCAGGCGCTGAGCTCTGCTCTCTGGGGACAGAGACAGGACCCAAAGGAATGGCATGGAGCTGGGAGAGGGGATGGTCAGGCTGGGGGTAGGGAAAGATTCTGCACCCTTATGGTCGGGCACTGGGACAGGATCCCCAGGACAGTCGTCATGGCGCTGAGCCTGCTGGAGTTCAAGAAAAATTTGGACAGTGCTCTCAGGCATCAGGTTTGATTTTTGGGTGGTCTTCTGTGGACACATGAGTTGAACTCAGTGATCTTCATGGTTCCCCTCCAACTCAGGATATTCTATGATTTTAAGAATCTATGATATAGAAACCCCAGAAAAAAATGGCTTAATGTAAAAACAAAAAACAAAAGCACATCAGTACATAGAATGCATTAAGGACAAGTTACTATGCCTAGAAATGTGCCAGACAGGACAGAAGAGGTGTCAGGATATCCCTAACAATGTGCATTTTTAGCAGAACTTGTGACCTAGGAGTGCCCCATGCCAGAGCAACAGAGATGGTTCTGGTAACTGTCTGAGCTGTATTGTGGGTGCTACTGCACATCACAGCCTTATGCCGCATATACAGACCCAAGAGGAACACCAATGACCATGTTTGAATTTTTAAAGCAGTTTAACATTACTTTATATACAGACATGGCATCATTTAGATATAGGGAAATATGTTGGACAACCTCAGTCACCTAAAGGTCTTCTTCCACTGGCAGTCCCACTCCATCCTGTGACATCATAGTACCACTAAAAGTGATTGTCAGTTTGGCCTGCAGGCTGTGCTGTAGTGTATGCTGGGCATTATTTACAAGGACCCTTACTGGGACATTTCAACCTTCTTGTTTCGTAAAACATCAGAAAATACACCATTAGAAACTAAGAGGCTCTCAAGTCTGATTCACAGAAATGGCACATATTGCTTCTGGGGAACTTCTTGTTTCAGAGAGTAATAACAGTTCTTAGGAATGCTATGTGGTTGGAATGGGAGGAATTTTTCTCCTGCATAAAGGGAAACAGATGTCAAAGGGAGCAGGACATGAGATCATTAAGGGGTTTCTGTGAGAGGTCAAGAGTTCTTTTCTGAACAGTGCTTGTTTTATACGTTTCTTAATCATAACGTTGAGTCATTACTATAAAGTCAATACAGATGTCTGATTTTTAACATTTCTGAGCACTCTCAACCTCTATTAGCCTTGGTGAGAATCAGAATTTCTCAATGGTTTTGAAAACCAGGTCCATTATCTTTTTAAAAATGTAATTTCTTCTCCTCCCCTCTTCCACTACTCTTTCACTTCATTATACTCATTCATGGCATACAAATCATTCATGAAACAGACAGCTAGTGTTTCAGTGCCTCAACTGACCTCATACGCTGCGTGCTTAGATGCAAGCCTAGGTGCAGATTTTAGCTGAATATTAGCATGGCATACTAGTAACATAAATAATGGCCTCTGTATGAAGTGGTCTCCCACCTATAGCCACCTCCTGTGGCCACTGTGGAACAGCAAGTTGTTTGATGAAGGTTCTTACTCTTCCCAAGCAGATATAAGGGGGTTTACAGGTAGCCTTAATCCAGGATGCCCATTCTTGCAGGTATTCTTCAATACCCTGCAGACACTGCAAAACTTAACTGCTTTTTTATTTCTGACCTATGCTGCCTGGATTGTTTAGGGCTAGCCAGTGTATTTATCTTTTTGCAATGTTAAGAGAAGAGGTGCCAGGTTTTCAGAACTGAGTCCCACATGTCCTGCTACAATTTTTTTTTTTAGCTCCTGACATGCCCCATCAGCAGGGACTTTGCCCCAGCTGGTGCAGGCTGGGACATAACCAGTTGTTCGGTCCTTGCACACTGAATGAACCAGTGCTTGTGAGCCTCAACATGCAGCTTGAATTGTGCTTTCCAGAAAAAGCTTCGAGAGAATTTGTAGGTGATCTGAGGGAATTGTATTGGCAGGATGCTCATTTGTTAGCCAAATAAACTTGACATAGGATACAACCACACTGTTTTTAAGCATGGAGTATCACAGAACTCCCTTCACGGTCCCTTCACAGCAGGGGCAGACTCAATGTCAAGGCTCTGTGGGGGGCTGGGGATAAGGTTCATCATCCTAATCGCTCAACCAGGCACAGCTGGGAAGCTGTGACCCTTGTCACAACTCCTGCCTGAGCCAGGGGGCCACATTTCAGCTTAAGCTGTGCACCCCATCCTGGATCAGCCAAGCTGTTGGGACCCATCTCCAGCCCCATCTCCTGTTTCCTGTCTGTGCCCAGGGTGGCTGTGGGCCCATGTTGGCTGTGTCCCGGTGACCAGCTCTGTTCAAACCCATGGGTGAGAGCATGACTGCATGTGATAACCCTTGGTGGGGCAGCCCCTTTCCAGGCACCCAGACATTAGAGGTGTGATGGTAACAGCAACCTACATAAACGGCCCTTGCAACCCGTTACATTGGGGATATATTAGCAGTATAGTTGCAGATTAAGCAATAACTGGCATTACAGAAGAGGTAAGCACTTCTAGGACAATGGTTGAAAGGAAAACTGTGGCCAGGAATACCCTCAGCTTAATTCATCAGGGCTGGAAAGTCTGTGACCCCAGTATCATGACATTTAGATACTGCACAGTAAGCATCACTGTGACACAAAGCCCATTCTTTCAGCATTGCAAGAAAATAAGATTATTCATCCAATTCATTCATACTAACTCAGAGGATAACTTCAGATTCTTGTTTGTGCTTCATTGCTGTCCCAAAAGAGGACCGTTTCCAGCAAGGTGTCCCAAGAACACAGCTGTTGTCATATTCATTATCTTCCATATTTTTTTGCTTGCCCCAGGCCTTCAATACACATCATCTAAACAGCTGCATCCTCAGCATCCCTGATGCAGAGCAGTGATGCTTCAGTGAATGAAGCCCGCCACAATACATGATGGCAAATTGCAACCAGGGAACTAGCTCTGTTTTGCTTCAGTGGAAGGAAACTTTCTTGAACTGTGCTTCAAATGCATCAAATCATGGGGTAATCTGATTTTCTCTGAAATTAAAACTGCCCTATTTACTCTGAAGGTTTTTAACCCCCAGTAGCAGGATCTTAGGAGACACTTTCTTAGCATTACTGGAAGATTTGAATCCAAAATTCAGAGATTCAAGTTTGCTGCTTTGGATCAGTTCTTAAAAGAACTTATTTTCCACTGGCTAATATTCTTACAAAAATAGTAAGCAAAAAACATTTCCTGCCGGTTCAGAATAGCACTTTGCTACTCTAATGTTCTGAGTAGAGGAGTTATTAAAAAAAAAATAAAATGTGAAGATGTTAATTCTGTATTCTGTGGATGTACTGTTTCCCTTTACAAATGTGACAGCCACTTATACAAAGACTCTTGCTTGACAAAGAAACTATCTGTCTATGTATTTCCATCCTAATTGGATAACAACTGCTCAGCCTCTGCTTGCTTACATTTCCTCCTAATTAAAATGTTGTTTCTTTACTGTACAATCCATTAAAAGAAATCAAAAGTATTTTAAGTTTTAATCATTTAATTGTCCTTGGCTAGTTTGAAAGGAATTCAATCAGATCACTTACAGTTTTAGTCATTTTCTCTTCAAACAACATAATCTCTACATATTGCTGCTTTTGCTGAGAGCTGAGTTTTTCTGTTCTTCCAGCCACCTATGATTGTTTCCACAGGAGAAAGTATGTCCCTCTGTAACTACACACACATACCAAAAACAACAGCCAAAATGGGGCACTGTGTTCAAAAGGGCATGTTTGCATTCCCAACATGCAACACAGTGTTAGGGAGGCATAGCACTCCTCCAGGGATGACGGTACATGGTGCTACAGCTGTGGATTTGGCAGCGGGCACCATGCCTCAGGCATTTTCTGCCCACCCCTTTGGGGGGTCAGCAGTGTCCATGGGCAGGCAGGGTGGGCCACAGAGGCAGACTGGTGACAAGGAGCTCTGTGGGAGCTGCAGGTGATGCTGCAGCAGTGGCACTCACACAGGCTGCCCAGGTCACCCCGGGGCTCTCTCCATGGTGCCCCAAGGCTGAGTGCATTGGGAGGGGGCTGCAGCTAATGGGAAAAGGTATGCACAACATACAGAATAGCAAGGAGAATTGGCCCTCCAGAAAGAGAAGTATGTGCACTGTCTTCGTGTCTACAGCACTAAGCCACAGGACGCAGATAGGGAACCCCAAGTATCTGTCTGGTGTTTCTCTGAACTCATTTCCTCTTCTCCTTTCTTGGCACTTCACTTTATACATCATGTCTGGCTGGATGTGCTGTGATTACAACTATTTTAACAAGTGCAAACTGTACAGTGCTTTATGCTGAGCTGAGTCTGTCTTAATGTAACATTAACAATAAATATCTGGCCATGCTCTAAGCGTCTGTCCCATTATCTCTACAGAAAGGTGTCATTGCAGAAGCAGCCAGAGTTCAGCTTTGTTATGCACATAACCCCAGCAGTTTACACCATACAGCTAGAATATGCCCTATGTGCATATATTGCATATATACATGATACATGCAAGACTGTACTCCTCAGAAATGACATTACATTTATACAAAAGAAGGTGAATTAAAAAGGGCTTTTTAAGTTACAACCTTCATATGAATTTGCATTCAGCTTGCAAAAAGTCAATTATTTTTTTTTCCATTTTCATCATCCCAAATGATGCAAGGGAGCAGAAAGCAGATGTAAATGCAAGAAGTGTATGCACTTTGTTACCATGGTTATTGACCATTTCTAAAACAAACTCCAAAACGACATCTTAAAGCAATGCTATTTTTTTCAGGTGTTCTGTCTCAGAATATGATCTTCCAAATATCCCCAATTCAAATATATGAATTTAAAACACATTACAAAATACTGTGATTCAAACAATGCTGATAAAAGTGGGTTAGAAATGTTGAATTAACAGGATTTGCAAGACCTTGGCCTCAGTCATTCCTATGTTGGATTTATAGGGTAGGTATGTTTGCAGCAAAAGAAAGGAGAGAATATATTTTTAAAAGAAACAGAGCAAATCAAAATGATTCAGCAAATACATAGCTATGACATACAAGGACATAAGAATGTGAAGTCATAATTATGGAAGTATCCAGAATCTTCTCTTCCTATACTTAACTGTGATTGGTAGATATTTTCTTTTATGTAATAACCAAATATATATTGGTCACTGCAGATTATGGTTCAACAACAATCCAAATAGATGTTCTCTTTTTCTTTAATATTTATATTAATTTAAAAAATAACTAAACATTTATTTTTTCTCTTTATCACTTCTAGATTAAACAATATTGCATTTAATCTGTCAAATTAGATAAGAAATAAGATAAATATCCTACTATTTTGAATTGTAATTTTAAGATTGCCCTTCTGATGTTTTGTTTACATACCAAACCAGTCAAATAAAAAGCAAATGAAGGAGTTCCAAATGATGGACCATTTCTTCAGGAACACCAGGGAATTAAATCAATGACAGGTGTATAAAGCATTAAACAAACATCGGTATGAGGAAATTATAACTAAGACTTTAACAAGACATTGTATGGATGAGTTTTTAATTTTGATGAACAGAAATTACCCAAATTTTAACAGGCCCTAACTGGTTAACATAAAAAATAAAATAATAATAATAAAAGACTTCGTTCAAGGACTTAATTGTAACTATTACAAGAGAAATATAACATTATTGATGTCACATGGTCTATTTTGTCTGTACAGAAACCACAGTATCTGTCATCTGAGGGTAGCTTAAGCTTCTCTAGCATTTATCACATATTTATATATTTGAAGGTACTTGTAAATAGAAATCATTTAACCACTCCTTTAACTTTAAAGACTGTGCTGAAAACCCATCCTTATTAATAGTACATCCTCTTTTCACTGAATTCACAGAACCAAAAATTACATCTGGAAGACAAAAAACTTTTTAATCTCATATTCTCCATTTAACACACATAACAGAAAAACAAAGTCGTCAGCTGTTGCCATGTGCTGTAAGACTCAAGACTGCTCAAACAACTTGACTAGGTCATTTGCCAAGCCCATTGCTTTGGCTGAGCCACACCAAGGAAACAAACAAAAAATCTCCTTTTTTTCCATACCTGCAGAAGCAGGCAATATTCATGCTGTTACTTGCACCACAGCTTGTCCTCTTAGCCAAGACCATGACTTCTTACAAAAAGGGAGGAAAAACAAACAAACAAACAAACAAAAAACAGACAGGATTTGTCCCATGCCAGCTTCAAGGATGCAGCTCCTACACCTACTGCTCCTGCTTGGGCCTAACAGCCTTTGCACCATACCATACCATACCATACCATACCATACCATACCATACCATACCATACCATACCATACCATACCATACCATACCATACCATACCTATCCATATTTAAGAGTCATTTATTTACTCCATGAACCTTTACTCTTTAAGCTAATTTAAACACTTCTTCCCTTTCTCACATATAGAAATGTGTTCCACAATTCAACATTATATCTTCCAGAAATTTGTTTCCTTTTGTTTTAAACTGTTTTTCTTTTTTTCCTTTTCTCAGACCAGTATGACCCAGTCAACTTGTATTTTCCCTACACAGAAAACTTTTATAACCATTCTGTTGTTTTTGTTATTATTATTATTATTATTATTAGTGATTTATTACACTTATGACAAAATGAAGCAGCCAGTGGTACCTGTGACAGTTCGCAGAGCTCACAGAAGCATATATCCATTTTCTGGTCTGATCTTCATTTCTTTCTTAATCTTTCCTAACATTTAATCTCCCACTGACAGTTAATGAATGCATGATGTTTTCAAATAACTATCCACAATTCTCTTCTGTGTGATAACACTTCAGGCAAATTTGCGCATGTACAAGTAGTATTGTTTTTTCCTATATTTCACTTAACAGCCTGGAAATGAACACACTATTTTATCAGCAGGTCACTCTGGACCTTCAGGTCCTGGCAACTTCTTGTCAACAGTTTTAGTTTTGCTGTTGAGTGCCCCCAGTAACATCAGCAAATGTTGCTCTCCCATTATTCATCCTGTTTGCCCAGTTACTCATGAATTTCCAGGTCAGAACAGACTCCTCATCATTGGGCAACTCAGCTGCTAACCTCCTGTTGCTACGAAAATTTATCATTGTTCCTTGTCATTGCTTTCTATTCCTTACCTGATTACTAATAATTTTACCCCACAAAAATGCCATTTCTTTTAAGAGTGCTTCAACATGGTTGAGAGCTTCTTGGAAAATTGAGCACAGTATGCATGTCCTTTGGGCTGCCACAGGATGTTCGGAAGTTAACCAGGGGGTTGTGCTGAGCTACCTCAGGGTTCTTGTTGGGCTGCTTTGGCCTGAGGTACCATCCCAGGAAAGTCCCCACCAGCCTCTGCGCAGGGACTTTCTACCAGACATTGTTCCTGGGTGGCTTCTCTATCTTGCTCTGCACTGCCCTGTGCCTGCTTTCCCAGTGGTACCAGCAGCCTCTGCAGCAGCACAGGGGCTGAGAGGCAGCTGCAAGAAACCACTGCTTGCTGGGCACATGAACACTCTTCCAGCACAGGAAGGAGAGGGGAGCTGGGGTGTCAGATCCTCCTGCTCACTGTTGTGACCGCATTGCTCGAGGTGTTTTGTGGCAGAAGAAGGGCCTTGGATGCCAAACATGACCTTAAGAGTTCTCAGAGATAATGTCTGGTCTGCACTATCACTACACCACTTCCCTGCTGCAGCAAAGAGCAATTTCCTTGTACTGTGGTGGGGCCCTGCATCTCACCACTCTTACCAGCTTGTGGCATGCCCAGTGAGGAAGCTAAATGAAAATCCACCGCAGGCAGCAGGGCACAGTTTGGCACCTCCTGACACCACTGCCCACAATATCTTTTTGGTGGCGGATTCTTGAGACCTTACCTACTCAGATCAGCAAGGCTTTTTCCTCTGGCTCCACTCTCAAAGTAGCAAAAAGGCACTGATGGAGAAACAACAAAACAAGGAAAAGGAGGAGGAATAACCGTAGACCACAGAGGCTACTTACTGAAACGTCTGTGCTGCAAGAAGTGGGTCTTGGGAGCATTGTGGCAAGTGGCTGCCATGAGGACTACAGAGCTTCCTAGGGTGGTGTGTAGGGAAACAGTTGGACAATGCTTTTCTGTGGAATCAGGAGAGCCCTGATTCACAGGCCTTGAGCCCCCTTTGCTGTAAAAAATAAGTTTGCACTTTTACACAGTGAAGAAGTTGTCCACTGTTCTACCACAGCACAGAGCTGCCGTCACACAGCACGCATGATGGGGAGACCAGGAGATTAGGGCAGTGCCACCCTGCATTGCCACGTAGCTAAGTGGGGCCATATATACCTGGCCAGCAGCTTCAGAGCAATTTTATCAGTCTTGTGCTCTCTGTAGCCCTTATTTCCTATAAAGGTCCTAAACCAGAAGTGTTTTTTTAGTAATCTTCAGTCGGATAAAAAGAGATGACAGAAAACCACCTTGTGTTCTGTTACCTCAGCTTTGTTTAAACTTCTGGCTTTTAAAATCCTAGTTCTGCTTTTTTTTTTTTTTTTTTCCTAAGTCTTTTCTTCCCTATGGAGTAGCAGCGCAGGAGACCTGACAGTCGAGCCCGTGGCATGAGTCCCAGCATGACGATGCTGAGCTCCAGACAGGAGGCTCCCAAGAAAAACACTGCAGCGAGACAAGGCAACCCTACACGCCTGCCCGCACTTAGCAGC